TTAGTGATTTTGCCAATGACATGGCACTATTGCACTGATAATAACCAAATTTAGTCGCAGTTGCATTCACACGTGATATAATAGCTGGTGTCGGCAAGCTGTGGGAATGCCCAAGTGGCGTTTGTTGTGCTATCGAAATAATTGTACCGACGGCGGTTGGCAGTACCGCTGGTACATATAGCAGTGTTTGCAGCGTTTGAATTGAAAATGACAAACCTTATTCAGAATTGCTAATCGATGCTTTAGCTTCATGTTCTCAGTTTCCAACGTTGTGTACTATTGATCATCTTCCATTTCAAGTCCCTCCTCATGTTTTGTATTTTCTATTTATGTACGCAAGTGGGCTGTCAGATGCTCCTACAAACACAAATAAAAATGTAGCTGGAGCTAATGGCCAATATATTGCAGCCACACTTATTGCTGCAGCAGCAGCGAGGGATTTCGAAGGAGTGCGTCTTGTCTGTGAATGTGAAAATAGGATATGAATTGGAACTATGGAATTCTAATGCTCACATTATACAATAGATGTGTGGGGATTCCGGCTGATTTGGAAGACCACCCTTGGTCACGTCCAGAACGCAGTTACCAAGAGGAAAAACCGCAGGGATTGCAGTAGTTTTCCTTGCAATCACCGTTGATGATGCTATGCTTGTAATTTATGGTCTGAAAAGAAAGTAAATTGCATTGATTAAATGTTAAACACATCAAATCAATAAATTTCAATAATTTTCGCCATTTCACAAACCGAATTAACAACCCTGTCAGCCAAAAGTAGTGAAAAATCTGGTGAAACCGCGGGTTTCACTCACTTCAAAACTGGTGAAAAATCTGGTGAATTTTGTATGGGCGGTGTGCAGATTTTCACCAGTTCCCCCCTGTACGTGTGAGCCTTGCATCACTGTCGCACTCATCCAGATACTTCATAAGGAAAACATATATAGCTGCACTCGTCTAGCATTGCCCCCTTCAGCCGGCGCAGGGTTGCATTCTCTTCACAGCGAATTCAAAATAACCTTAAAAACTTTAAATAAAAAATCTAAAATTTTTTTTTGATTTTTATTTTGCAAAATTGATTTTTCAAAATGCATTGTTAACCTAATATATATAGTTAGTAATCAATATTATGAATAAAATTGTAATTAACATTAATAATAAAGATATTTTTACATACATATTTTACATACATATGTGGTTGTGGAGGAGAAGTTCGGCCAAACACTAACATATGTGTAAGCGCCAATCTATTATATATTATATTATATTATTATGTGGCTGCTTAATTGCTTATTATTACTACTGCTCCTTTGCATATAGCTGTTTTCAAAAGTTGCAAAATTTCTATAAAAAAGTTAAGCGATTTTAACCGTATTATAACCAAAAAAGGTAATCGATTACCTTTCTTTTAATATATATTAACAGTTGCAAATTATTTTTAATGGTTCATAAAAATTCAGTTTTGTTACAACTTTGCAAAATTTGATGACTTTTTCACTTCTTACATATATGTAGATGTTTTAAAAAGTTGCTAAATTTCTATAAAAACGTTAAGCCATTTTTACAAAATTATAATCAAAAGAAAGGTAATCGATTTACCTTTCTTTTGATATATATTAACAGTTGCAAATCAATTCGAACGGTTCACAACAATTAGTTTTGTTACAGCTTTGCAAAATTTCACTTTTTCACTGCTTACTTATAGATGTTTGCAAAAGGTGCAAAATTTGTATAAAGATGTAAAGCGATTTCAGCGATATTATAATCAAAAGAAAGGTAATAGATTTACCCTTCTTTTGATGTATAGTAACAGTTTCAAATCATTTACAAACTTAGGCTATCTGCACACTTGTCGTCCAATCATAGCAGTATCGTCTCGCCCTGAAATTTTGAGCCGAGCACATGCATTTCGTTATCGGCTAGTTATCGGCAAATCGTAGAAGATGCAGATACCGATAAGTACGGCACTGTCGTTTGCTAATAGTTGTGCAAGCATTGTTTGTTTACATTTTATGAGGAAAAATTAGTGAAAAAGTTAATATTTGCATTAAAATTGTATAAAAATTAATATTTTTTGCATCAAATCTGTGAAAATTATTAAAAAGTGGATAATTGCATTAAAATTGAATAAATGTGAGCGTTTTAACTATAAAATATGACGAAATTGTAAAAAGTCTCTATGTGCATGCCCAAAACACATTTCAGGAAAAGAGAAGAGATATTACTGAAAAATGATGTCTAGAATTGTTGCAGCACAGTCTATACTTTAAAAATTGCAGGTTTTTGTAAATATTTCGCGAAAATATCAACCAGAAAAACAGAAAAAACCTGCTCCAAGTGAATTTTTAGACGCCAAATGAATTGAAATATCACGACCGAGTGTGCGAAAGTGTAGTCGTCATGTAATCGTTGCATCATGATTGTGACGATGAAGCAACTATGATTAGTCGACCAATGTGCAGAAAGCCTTAGTTGTCTGATGGTGCTCCTGGTGATGAAGCTGCTGGCGTTGAAGGTGCTGATGGTGAATGCCAAATCGGTAAACAAAAAAAATATCAATTAAACTTTATAAACATATGGGAGGTTCCATGGGAAAGTGGATCTCAGAGCAAAAATTATTTTCTTTACAAAATTACCAAACGTGTGGATAAGACATTTGTAAAAATCTTAAATCAACCAAAAAATAACAAATTAAATCTTTAAATGCATTTTTATTACATACCTTTTTTTTACGTTTTGAAATCAAGTTCTAAGTAAATTTTTTGATTGAGTTTAAAGTAGGTTGTGTTGAATGCACTGTCAAATAATTTGCGATTCATAATTCAAGTGTTTGTTAGGAAAAATATATAGTAGAACTCATCTGCTTCTAATAAAATTGTGTTATATATTAAATTATGTGACTGCTTTATCTACATATATTATAAGTTATTATTAAGCAGTATTGGTCTTGTCTCACCCGTGATAAAAAAGCTAAAAGTTGTTATATTTAATTACAGAAATTGAGGTTGTGTTTCGTGTTTGCCACATAATGTTAGAAATTCTTTGGGAATATTTACCACAGTTGCATTGTCGTTTCCACGTAGTTAGATAAGAATAATTCAACAGAGAAGCATGTCCCACCCGTGACAGCTATGCGTGGGACAGTTGTCAGAGGTAGGTTTACTGGGCTGATAAGCTTTATTTGTTTGTTGAGGTGGACGCAGGGCAGGAGAGGGGGATGCGCGGACTCGCCCCTTATCTATATACCCTTGTGGTCAGCTGATTAAGGTAAGTTACATTTTTCCCAGTTTTCGGTTTTTATTTTGTTAACCTAATGTTTATAGTTTTTTTTTTATAAAAGGCTAGCACATTACCTAACCAGAACCACATAAATCTACATTTCGAACTTCTTAAAAAAATTATAAAAATTCAACAAATTTCAACAACTACACCCAAAAATTTTAAACTTTTTGTGCAAATATTAGGTATGCAGTTTTGTGGTCCATTAAATTCAAGTAGGTAAAAGTGAAAATTTCAGGACGCTAGGAAATCGCGTTCATTTTTAATAACTTTTTTGGCTGACGGTGATAAGCATTTTCTTCTATATAAAAGGCACTACCCTTAGACGTGAGTGAACTTAACCCCTATTTGGCTTCTTATATTTTATAATAACTAATCTTTATATACGGACAAGACTAAAAGCTCCTTTTCATATAAAAATTCGTACGTGTCCTACCCGTGACAAACGTTGTCTCACCTGTGACAGAAGAAATTTCGGATTTTTTGTATAATAAAGGCATCATTTTTTTGTAGTTTTTGCTTTGTTTGTGTTCGTGGTTCTTTGTTTTATTATAAGACATCAAGTTCACACAGAAAAGTGAAATAAATTCGCAGAGTTTCCGTAAAATATATTTGCTCCAAAAAGCAGGTTCTTTTTTTTGTCCCACCCGTGACAGAAGAAATAAATCGGATTTTTTCCATATAAAAGTAAGCTGGAAATTTTTTCGTATTTTGTAATAACTCATATAATAGTCAATTAGGTGTAGCTGTATCAAAATGTAGAATTGTTCAGTACTTTATACTTAAATTTAAACAATAAAGAAAATTTTTTCTGTACAAATGTCCAACCCGTGACAGTGGAATCGCCCATATATAAAATCTCAATATATACCTTTAGATTGTACTGAAGGCGCTGGTGTTTTGCAATCTAAAAGAAAAATTACATTATAATCAAATAAAATTGTTAAATACGTATTCTTACCTTAAAAATTTTCACAAAGTGACATTTCTTCACAGTATGTATACTGCCATGAAAACTTCGATGTTTCTAACTTGCTCGCTCTAACGCATAGAATTCTTATTAGAGTACGAATTCTTATCAGCGACGCAGCTCTAAAAAAGGGAAATTTCGTTGACAGTTGAAAAAAAAAAATTGTAAGTGTGTAGGTGAGATGACTAAAAAGTTGTGAATGTGTTTGTAAATCGTTTGATTTTCAGAGGAAAGTGGTGAGCCGTGGCTGGCAGGGAAGAAATAGAAACTCACCGCGATGCGATACAGAAATAAAAACCAACAGGGCTGCATTTTCTTGGTAAACAACACAAGCGCTCAGAGCCACAGTATACCAGTAGAAAAGGTTTTTGTTGTTGTGGCTGTTAACTTGGTCCCCATAAAGGACTTGAAGGTTGCGAGCAACTGTTTTGCCGCATTCAGGGTGCTGTGCAGCAAAATAATGTGGTGAAAAATTTTAACATATAATGTCGACGAACAAAGATATAAAATTGAAAATGACTAACCTTATTCCCGGCTGATTTGGGAGACCACCCTTGGTCACGACCAGAACGCATTTACCAATAGGAAAAACCGCAGGGATTGCAGTAGTTCTTGCAATCACCATTGATGATGCTGTGTGTGTTTTAATTAATAGTCTGAAAAGACAGAAAATTGCATTAATCAAATGTTAAACACATCAAATAAATAAATCTCAACAATTTGTTTACCATTTCACAAACCAAATTACCAAGAAATAGAAACTCACCGCGATGCGATACAGAAATAATAACCAAGAGGGCTGCATTTTCTTGGTAAACAACACAAGCGCTCAGAGCAATCTGATCCGCAATATTATTTTTTGAAAAATAAGTGTTGAAAAAAGTTTTTAAACATGATTATCACATTATCTAATTATCGCACACTATCGTGTTTATTTTTAGTAGAATATAATTGTATTATCTCAGACTTTTTTTCAATGTTTTCTAATATTCGTTCTTTTGGCATGCAAAAGCAACCATGCGCTCAATTTCTTGTGGGGAAATTTGGCCCCCATAAAGGACTTTCACCACGAAACTGCTACAAAAACAAAAACCTTTTCTACTGGTATACTGTGGGTTTAGTTTAATTTGGTTGCATTAGAGATGGGACGATTAATCGAATAACCGATTATAATCAATAATAATATATACAATATAATCAATAATTTCAACTAACCAGTGTTGCCAAGTCTAGAATTTGAAAAAGCACTTAAACCCAAGAAAAATCACGTTTTTCTTGAGAAAAGCACCAAATTTTTTATTGAGGACTTATTGCATACAAAATTTTATTGTAGGTATGCCGATTCAAAATAATAGAAATGGGAAATCTTTAGCTATTTGTACAATGATTTAGGGGTGTGGGCGGAGGGGGCGGCGTGGCCCCCAAACCCCCCCTAAACAAAAGAGGTTGGACGACGCTTTATGATAGATAAGTTATATAATATGCTAAATTTGTTAAATGGCCCATCAAGTCCATTGATCGTGTACGTTCTTGTGGTGTGATTGTACCAGCTGCTGGTGCGACTTCAAAAACTATTTAAAAATGTTATGGTTGTACCAGCATGCTGGTGTCGTGAGTGGTGAAATTAGCTCAATTTTTTTAAGAAAAAAGTATTTTTGCGGAAATTTCTTACTATACGAGTCAAAGCCGTGTTTGTGGAAGATTAAGTTCACGATATTGCAGTTGTGAATTAAAAAATAAAAAACAATGTTTAACAAAATGGTAGAAAAATTATGAAATTTCGGCTCTAATCATTTCGATTTTTCCCCGACCTCATTTGTAAAGAAATAAATATTGTTGCAGTATGCTGGTAAGTTATATGCTTCGAGCCTGATGGTACAATCACTTGATCAAGCCAATAAGCTGGTATCGTATATTTCCCCTTTTATACAAAAAGGTTTTTGGTTGGATAAAATATTAGCTTTTTTTCCAGAGTTAATTGTGTTTCTATACCATTACTTATTGAAAATGTTTGCGTGTATACTTATATATGTATTTGTAAGTAAACAATTATAGCTACGATTTTTAGCCACAACGACTCTTTTTAGCTCTTTTTTAGCCTTTTTTTTTAAGGAATTTGGCTACCACTAAAAATGATTCGCTGCAATACTGGTTATGATGCCTAAGCGCGGCCGCAGGCCGCCCACGTAGAAAGAAGTGCTGCTCAAAAATACTTCTACTTCTTTTCTTCGAAACACAGAAAGAGAATTCTACTTTGTGAGGGTTATGATTCCTAAACGCGGCCGTAGGCCGCCTACGCACAGAAAAGTTCTGCTCAGAAACACTTTTACTCCTTTTCTTCGCAACACAGAAAAAGAATTCTACTGCCTGCGCAGAAAAAAGTTCTGCTCAAAATTCTTCTCATTTTCTTCGCAACGCAGAAAGATAATTCTACTTTGTGAGGGTTATAATCACTAAGGCGGCAGCAGGCCACCTGCGCAGAAAAACGTTCTGCTTAATAATACTTCTGCTTCTTTTCTTCGCGTTACAGAAAGAAAATTCTACTTTGTGAGGGTTATAATCCCTAAGCGCGGTCGCAGGCCGCCTATGCAGAAAGAAGTTCTGCTCAAAAGTACTTCTGCTCCTTTTCTTCGCAACACAGAAAGAGAATTTTTCTTTGTGAAGTTTACAATCCCTAAGCTCGGCTATAGGCCACCTACGCAAAAAGAAGTTCTGGTCAAAAACACTTCTGCTCATTTTCTTCGCAACACAGAAAGAGAATTCTACATTGTGAGGGCTTTAATCTCTAAGCGCGACCAAAGGCCGCCTACGCAGGAATAGTTCTACGTCAAAAATACTACGATGTCAGAAGGTTTTTTAGACACTTGACAAGGCAACACATTATGGTTTTATTGCGCTTTTTAAAATTTTTGTTTGGAAAACATAAAACCAGTTTTTGCGGAAAAGGGTAAGGTTGGCGGCGCGAGTGCAGTGCAGAGAGACGCGGGGGTCATGAGCGCGGCGCGGTGCGGGGAGCCAGCAAATGTGCACCCGCCAGGTTATGCAAATCCCTAAGCGCGGCCGAAGGTATCCTACGCGGAAGGAGTTCTACGTCAGAAGGTGTTTCATACACTGGACAAGGAAACACATAAAGGAGACTTCTGCGTACATAATACTCATAATTTCTATTAAACATATAATAAATTAGCACTTATCATATTCGCCTTTATAATATTCTTACGCTTTGAACATCTGGTAACATACTATTTCAGTTCGCTAATAGAAAATAAACAAATTTATTAACGTGTTCCTCATCGTTAAACAATAAAATTAATAAAATATAAAATAGATGAACGTTCAAAGAGCTTAATTTAGTTGAAATTTATGTGTTCTGCACACTTGTTGTTTGTTATCGTACATTTTGTTGGGTGAAATTTTCAACTTTAACAACAAATTACTCGTAAACTATGAGTTTCCTCGCCGTCCGGTTTTCAGCTTTGTGATGTGTGCGACCCCCAATACACCCCCCATAAAGTCATTTTGTTCTAGGTGTGGTGCACTCTCGCGAAGTTCCACCAAGCAGATGATCTCAGCTGTAGGCAATTTTCGGCAATCAGCTGATAGTGTTTTTACTTAGGAAACTGTACGATGGTTAAAATCTTAACTTAAAAAATAACTTAAATTTTTGGAACACAACAAGATAACCAACCGTTTAGCTATGGGAAAACTAAAAATGCAGGCCGATAGTACTTCTTATGATGATTTCAACTATGGGCCTGTGCCAGTTGATAGAAAATAGAAAATTTTGACGGATCGAAGTAAAAATTTGATATTTCTCGTGGTGAATACGAACGTCAAATTTTACCTAGCACATGTGGCTAGGTAAAATTTTGACAACTTCCAAATATGTTTACAATAGGTATTGTTTGGCGGTAATAAAGAGTTAAGCCAAAAATACAATAACGCAGTGGCAGTGGCAGCGGCAGTTTTTCGAAATCAGCTGTTTTTTAGAAAGTGTGGTTTCCAATGAAGCGACTCATAATACAGCAGTAGCAGCTAGCAGTACTGCTCAGTTTAGCCCAGATTCTAAATTCACTGCCACTGCCTTCATCGCAGCAAACTTCGCATGCTGAATTTGACATAAATGAAACGTAGCCAACATCTGTTGATGTCACTGAAGCCTAAAAGGCAACAACAAAAATGTAAACAAACAAAAGGGAATGTCAAAAAAAGCAGTCACTGACAACGCTGTATTGTGTTTGCTGCGGCTGTGACTGCCAATATTAGCAGTAACAGCTGTTTTAAAAACTGTCACTGCCACTGCCACTACGCTATTGTATTTTGGGCTGTAAACTCAAAATGAAAGCTGAAAAAATGACAAAAAAGTGTACGTTACTTGTAAGTTATAAGATGAATTAAATTTATACGCAAATATTTATGTATTTATTTATTCTATCTGTTTAAAGGAAACCACGCGGAAAGGCTTTTGTTAATTAGAAGGAGAACAGAAGAGAATGCGCTGTTCAGCGGCAAAAATGCAAAATCCAATGAAGGATGGAAGTAAGTAAAATATAATATTTATGTACATATATAGTTGGTTGGTAGATCTGAATGGAATTAACTTTTGCAGAAAAGTATCGGCGACGCTTCAAATGAATAAAGACTGGATGTGTTGCAAGTCACAGTGGAATGCTCTAGTGAAGAAATACAAAAGTTTCTTCCGCTACAGAACAGGTATGGACACATCCATTTGAAGGTAAAAATTGTATTTACCAATATGTTATTTTTACACCAGGCGGAGGAACAGGAGAAGAGGCGGTAGCAGAGGAAGCAAAAGACTGGCAGTATTTCGACGCGATGCATGAGTATGCATCGCAGAAAGACAATTACCATCACCCCTATTTATTGGACAGCGGAGAAGGAGAAGTGTTCATGAGAGAGAAATCTCCAACACCTTCCAGCTCATCTGCAGCCCCTTCAACTTCTCACTCATCCACAGCGCGATCGAGATCGGGCACACCATAGCTGCGCAACAGAGACGAGCGTTTTCATAGACTGGAGCAGCATATTATAAGACATGACCGTAAATTCAAAAAGAGAGTGGGATCTTTACTTGCGGTTTTTGGGCAAATGGTAC